TGACTACTTATTTTTGTCCAGCTTTAACATCAGTATCGATATCGGTTATCGGCTACATGAGTTTTAAAATATCGGCATATCGGATATCGGGCAAAATCCCAATATCGTGCATTCCTACAGGAAATCATGGTCACTCTATGTGGACCTTAGAAAATAAACATAATAGTGAAGAGTTAAAAGATAAACAATAAAATCCTGTACTCTAAAGTGCTTTAACAATATAAATGCTGTGCACCTGGAGAATAAATAACCAATATCCAGCTATGGACATTTTTACAGTAATGGATATTTAAAAAAAAGCAGCAACATCAGAGATGTGCAAAATGACAGCAAAATGTTATTTAACTGATTAAGATAGAAACTGTGCAAAATCAGCATGAATATAACAACTTATTGAGGTTGTTGGGAACAGTGGTGGTTATAGAGTCTTCCAGCTGCTGGGAGGAAGGATCTGTAATAACCCTCCCTGGTGCAGCAGTCTGTCACTGAAGGAGCTTTCCAGCTCTGCAAAAGCTTCATGCATGGGGTGGGAGACATTATCCAACAGAGAGGTTATTTTAGTTACAGTAGGATCCTTTTGTTTCCCTCCTCCTGCACTGAGTCCATAGGCCATCCAATCACAGAGCTGGCCTACATGATCAGGTTATCCAGCCGCTTTCTCTCAGCTACAGATCAGCCACCGCTCCAACCAGAGCATGTGAACGGAGCAGAGTGCTGTGCAATTCCCACTCAGGAGGATGTTCGCTCATTCACTCCGCCGTTTGAGAGGATGCTCCTCTCAAAATCTGCGCGGCACTCACCTTCATTTTCCTGTCGCTCTGCCGAAATCGCTTGACACTCGCTCAAACTTTCAGGAGAAGGCATTTTCTGACATTTTTCCTTCATGTAATTCTACCAGGGCCCTGGGACACACAGCGTTTGATTTAATGATGTGACCGATACATGTGTATTGTCTTATTTAAAGCTACAGTGTGTAATTTTCAGCGACATCTAGCGTCCAGACTGCAGACCGCAGCAACATGAACATCTCCCCCCACCGCTTCTCCCCCCCAACAGTACGCCGAGCGTTACGGGACAAAATGTCTTCCACGACGTCCGCATCACCTACCTTCTCAAGTGATGAGGTTTGTTTACATAGATAATTTTACAGA